ATATAAAAGCTTATGATTGGTTTTGATTTGTTTTCTATCCAAGCATGAAAAGTGCAGAGGCGGCAGATCTTGTAAGACAAAATTTGTGAAATATGGGTGGTATATGCAGATGTATATAAGGCAGCAATAGATTGTAACAATGCAGCACATCCTGTGCCTGATGTACAGCATGAGGTGAGATTCACTGAGTTATCATGACATATTTTCAGATGACCACATTGTGCACAGCACTGAAGAAAGTTGGAATACAAATAACACATTCTTCTTGAATCATACGTCATCCACACAATCAGATGAACCTAATCAAGGAGTGGCCTCCCGGTCGTTGGAGACAATCTTCACAAGAACAGTTTCAAACACCTAAATCTTAAAAACAAGGTGCCTACTATAGATTGAGTATGGGAAATATATGCACTGATAATATTCTCATTTTTATGGTTTACTACACACATGCATTTTGCAGTTTAGAAATGTATTGAGTCAGCACTTCCATTTGTAATGTAAAATATACAACAGAACAAACTGTGGCATTATTTTGATGATGCTTTTATATGATTGGATTGGATTGGATTTTTTTTGTTTTGGGCAGCAACAAAGACCTTGCAGATGCAATGGCATTTGCTCAACCGGCATGTGCAAATGCTTCAGAATGAACATCAGATGCAGGAAATCCTGCAAATGCACAGAAGGCGAGTGTGCAAATAGGGAGGTGAGATATAAGTAATGTGTTGTTATGAATTCATACATTATTGATAAAGGAAAAATAGTAAAAAACGGCCCTCTTAAAGGGAAAATACAACATTTGCAAACATCAAAAAATTAATCTACCAAATCATTTTGAAATACCTTGCTGGACTGTGAGTGAATGACAGTGTAAAGCATCCTGTAAAATAATGGCACCTGGTATACTGTCATTTTCAAAAAAATTGGCCGATCAGCGTTGGAAAAAACGGTGTTTTTTTTTTTCAAATACTGGCCTGTACAACAGAACAAACTGTGGCATTATTTTGATGATGCTTTTTTATGATTGGATTGGATTTTTTTTTTTTTTGCAGCAACAAAAACCTTGCAGATGCAATGGCATTTGCTCAACTGGCATGTGCAAATGCTACAGACTGAACATCAGATGCAGGAAATCTTGCAAATGCACAGAAGGCGAGTGTGCAAATAGGGAGGTGAGATATAAGTAATGTGTTGTTATGAATTCATACATTATTGATAAAGGAAAAATAGTAAAAACGGCCCTCTTAAAGGGAAAATACAACATTTGCAAACATCAAAAAATTAATCTACCAAATCATTTTGAAATACCTTGCTGGACTGTGAGTGAATGACAGTGTAAAGCATCCTGTAAAATAATGGCACCTGGTATACTGTCATTTTCAAGAAAATCGGCCGATCAGCGTTGGAAAAAACGGTTGTTTTTTTTCAAATACTGGCTTGTACAACAGAACAAACTGTGGCATTATTTTGATGATGCTTTTTTATGATTGGATTGGATTTTTTTTTTTTGCAGCAACAAAGACCTTGCAGATGCAATGGCATTTGCTCAACTGGCATGTGCAAATGCTACAGACTGAACATCAGATGCAGGAAATCTTGCAAATGCACAGAAGGGCGAGTGTGCAAATAGGGAGGTGAGAGTAATGTGTTGTTATGAATTCATACATTATTGATAAGGAAAAATAGTAAAAACGGCCCTCTTAAAGGGAAAATACAACATTTGCAAACATCAAAAAATAAAACTACCAAATCATTTTGAAATACCTTGCTGGACTGTGAGTGAATGACAGTGTAAAGCATCCTGTAAAATAATGGCACCGGTATACTGTCATTTTCAAGAAAATCGGCGGCCGATCAGCGTTGGAAAAAAAACGGGTTTTTTTTCAAATACTGGCCCCAGTTGACCATCGCACTTGTTTGCAATCGATTACACACCTATGAACGGGTACAAGCCAGCTAGACTGGTTCCCTGACCTTACAATTCCCCAATATATGTAAACTGCTCTGTTTCTTCTTAAATGGAGTCAGGGAACCAGACTACAGAAAAATGATTGTTTTTCTTGGTTTTTATAGAATTTAGGAACCCAAAACCTCCAAAAAGTCAGTGTAACTGTATTTGCTATATATTCCCAACCCCCCAATTCCATCCATTTCTGAAAATTACACCAAAAACTAATGAACGGCGACACAAAAAAGTTTTGTCCTGAAAAATCACAGCAATCGCATCAAATAATACCTCATTGTGTTTATTTGTTTATAGATAAAATTGACAAAAAGGAAAAGAAAAAGACAAGAGCATGTCCTCAAAGACATGTAAGCAGAGGATGAGAGACTACAGGAAAGTAAGTATAATATGTGCAGTTGCATCAGAGCAACTAGTCCTGCACACACAAGTGCAAATGCACAAGTCAGTGCACCAACCAAGATAAGATGCCGCTGCTGAAGGAACTGCAAGACGAATATGTGCAGTTGCATCAGAGCAACTAGTCCTGCACACGCAAGTGCAAATGCACAAGTCAGTGCACCAACCAAGTAAGATGCCACTGCTAAACTCATTAAATCGTGACGTAATAAACAGGACTCGCGTATGCTACTCTGCATCGGGGAGTCCTGTTTATTACATCACGATTTACTGTGTTTTGTTTGCTGCCCGCAACGACGACTTTTACACAAATTGCACGTTCGGGTCGAAACAGGCATGACAGGACTTGAAAAACAGCTCTCAAAAGTACCTTTTGTACTCATTTTCATGACAGAAACAATAGTCGTTTTTATTTCATCACACCTTAGGCTACATATACCGAAAAATGACGGAAATGTCTTCGAGCATTCCACAACCTCTTTAAGAAAGCTACCAGTTTCACACACCATTTTGGACCTCTGCGGGGAGTCATTAAAGGGAACTGCATCCTGGAATGAGCCCAATTGGGCTTCAAAAACTACAAAATATTTAAAAGTAGAAAAAAAGTCACACAACTATCATTTGAAAAAAACTGGGAGTTTTGTGTTATGTGTGGGAGATCGATTTAGAGGTTCACTTTTGCGAACGCAAACGCTACCCTCCTCACACATCCCAAGCCAGATGCTCCGCTGAGCGTCATGACGGATGCTTCAAATATTGCAGTAGGAGCTGTTCTTCAACAAGGGGTAGATGATTCACGGCAGCTGATCTCATTCTTCTCCAAAAAGCTCCAACCAGCCGAAACGCTCTACAGCACCTTTGGACGAGAACTCTTAGCTGTGTATCTGGACATTCGCCATTTTCGTCACTCGCTCAAGGGTCGAGAGTTTCACGTGCTCACTGATCACAAGCCCCTCACATATGCTCAGTCAGCATCAATGGACAGACATTCCCCACGTGAGATTCGCCATCATGATTTTGTTTCACAATTCACTTGTGACATCAGATACGTCAAAGGTGGTGACAACCCTGCCGCGGACGCTCTTTCGCGTATCGAGCTCAACTCCCTCAGCCCAGAGCAGTCCCACACACTCCTCAATTTCAACAAAAAATGGCTGACCTACAACGACAGTGTGACGAACTCCAACAACTTCGTCATTGGCCTAAACGCTATGTTACATCGCTCGTTAATTGCCACACACTCACTGGGGGGGGGGGGGGGGGGGGGGCTCCTGTAGCGTTTTCAGATGATCAATTCTTAATTATCAATTCATCTTAATTTTTAGTTAATTATCACACTTTAATATCAATGTTCCTTTTGAACTTTTAATGATTAATTCTCCTGAATGCATTACTCGTTTTCCTTGTATACACATATACCCACACAGTGCCTATGCAATATGTAGTCACTATACTTTTATACAGAGCATTTTTCTGAGACTCAAGGAAACCACGATATGAGTAAGTTTCCCCATTCTTAAGTATTTCTTATTCCCAAGACTTCCTGTTTCCACCAGTATATAAGTGCTGCTCCAGGCCACTAGCAGTTCCTCACTGTTTCATTTCTGTTACAATTCCATTTCTATTCTAGTCTATTTCAGTTCACCAAGTTCTCTTGTCTCAGTTCACTGTAACCAGTTCAATCAATCAATGTGTATTAAAATATTGTTGTGGAATAAACAATCATGGTAAACACAGTCCTCAAACAAATTGTGTATCAACCTATCCATTCCCCAACAGTCCTAGACATAACTTGTCACTGAAATGTTATCTCTTTAAAATTAAATTGGACAAATTTTGGTTCTCAACTTAGCTATTCAAGAAGCTTAGGATATTGGAATCAGAGAGACATACACTGCACGAAGATATCAAAATATAGCAAGATGGTAAATATTAACAGTCTACTTGAAGACAAATGTTGACTGGAACAACTGTTGGAGATAAGGAGACAAAATTCCAACAGGTGGGTGATGTGTTTGAAGATACTTATGTCGGGAAATGAAAATATGTGTTATTCATGTTACATGTATTTGGCTATATTTTCAGATGACCACATCGTGCACAGCACTGAAGAAAGTTGGAATACAAATAACACTTTCTTCTTGAATCATACGTCATCCACAATCAGATGAACCTAATCAAGGAGTGGCCTCCCGGTCGTTGGAGACAATCTTCACAAGAACAGTTTCAATCACCTAAATCTTAGGCGCCTACTATATATTGAGTATGGGAAATATATGCACTGAGCAAGAGTGTATAAGTGTTAAATTGTATAATTGTTCAAAATGTATCAAATATTGTATACATTCAAACACATGTATGTTTTACTTTATGCATGTTTTTTTTCTAGATGAGGAGCAATGGATGAAAATTGTGGTGTTCACTGAAGTAAATTGCAGAACCTGGAGGAGGACGGCATCGCCGAGGACTATGATGAATATCTCGCTGCTGCTTTCAGCCACCTAGAAGGAAGAATAACGTTAACAAGTTGACAGAGTCAAGACCCTATGATGTGGTGTTAATCATTGTAAGCGGAACAGCTGTCGGCATGGACACTAGGGAAAGTGACTGTCATATCAAACCATGCACAGCTGGCCTGAAGACATATACAGGAACGAAAGAGTTAATAATTGGTGAAGCAATCATTCTGTCTGCATAAATTGTTTTTACGAGAGTCAACTTTATAACTATGATCTCATTTGTATGGTTTACTACACACATGCATTTTGCAGTTTAGAAATGTATTGAGTCAGCACTTCCATTTGTAATGTAAAATATACAACAGAACAAACTGTGGCATTATTTGGTGATGCTTTATATGTTGATTGGATTGGATTGGATTTTTTTTGTTTTTTGCAGCCACAACGACCATGCCGATGCACCAGCGGGTGCCAAACTGGAATGTGCAAATGCAAGAGGTTCAATATTAAATGCAGGAAATCGTGCAAATGTCAAGAAGGCGAGTGCGCCAATAGAGAGGTGAGATATAAGTAATGTGTTGTTATGAATTCATACATTATTGATAAAGGAAAAATAGTAAAAAACGGCCCTCTTAAAGGGAAAATACAACATTTGCAAACATCAAAAAATTAATCTACCAAATCATTTTGAAATACCTTGCTGGACTGTGAGTGAATGACAGTGTAAAGCATCCTGTAAAATAATGGCACCTGGTATACTGTCATTTTCAAGAAAATCGGCCGATCAGCGTTGGAAAAAAACGGTTGTTTTTTTTCAAATACTGGCCTGTACAACAGAACAAACCTGTGGCATTATTTTGATGATGCTTTTTTATGATTGGATTGGATTTTTTTTTTTTGCAGCAACAAAGACCTTGCAGATGCAATGGCATTTGCTCAACTGGCATGTGCAAATGCTACAGACTGAACATCAGATGCAGGAAATCTTGCAAATGCACAGAAGGCGATGGTGCAAATAGGGAGGTGAGAGTAATGTGTTGTTATGAATTCATACATTATTGATAAGGAAAAATAGTAAAAACGGCCCTCTTAAAGGGAAAATACAACATTTGCAAACATCAAAAAATAAAACTACCAAATCATTTTGAAATACCTTGCTGGACTGTGAGTGAATGACAGTGTAAAGCATCCTGTAAAATAATGGCACCTGGTATACTGTCATTTTCAAGAAAATCGGCCGATCAGCGTTGGAAAAAAACGGGTTTTTTTCAAATACTGGCCCCAGTTGACCATCGCACTTGTTTGCAATCGATTACACACCTATGAACGGGTACAAGCCAGCTAGACTGGTTCCCTGACCTTACAATCCCCAATATATGTAAACTGCTCTGTTTCTTTAAATGGAGTCAGGGAACCAGACTACAGAAAAATGATTGTTTTTCTTGGTTTTTATAGAATTTAGGAACCCAAAACCTCCAAAAAGTCAGTGTAACTGTATTTGCTATATATTCCCAACCCCCCAATTCCATCCATTTCTGAAAATTACACCAAAAACTAATGAACGGCGACACAAAAAAGTTTTGTCCTGAAAAATCACAGCAATCGCATCAAATAATACCTCATTTTTTATTTGTTTATAGATAAAATTGACAAAAAGGAAAAGAAAAAGAAAAAGCAGATGTCCTCAAGGACATGTAAGCAGAGGATGAGAGACTACAGGAAAGTAAGTATAATATGTGCAGTTGCATCAGAGCAACTAGTCCTGCACACACAAGTGCAAATGCACAAGTCAGTGCACCAAACAAGATAAGATGCCGCTGCTGAAGGAACTGCAAGACGAATATGTGCAGTTGCATCAGAGCAACTAGTCCTGCACATGCAAGTGCAAATGCACAAGTCAGTGCACCAACCAAGTAAGATGCCACTGCTAAACTCATTAAATCGTGACGTAATAAACAGGACTCGCGTATGCTACTCTGCATCGGGAGTTCCTGTTTATTACATCACGATTTACTGTGTTTTGTTTGCTGCCCGCAACGACGACTCTTTTACACAAATTGCACGTTCGGGTCGAAACAGGCATGACAGGACTTGAAAAACAGCTCTCAAAAGTACCTTTTGTACTCATTTCATGACAGAAACAATAGTCGTTTTTATTTCATCACACCTTAGGCTACATATACCCGAAAAATGACGGAAATGTCTTCGAGCATTCCACAACCTCTTTAAGAAAGCTACCAGTTTCACACACCATTTTGGACCTCTGCTGGGAGTCATTAAAGGGAACTGCATCCTGGAATGAGCCCAATTGGGCTTCAAAACTACAAAATATTTAAAAGTAGAAAAAAGTCACACAACTATCATTTGAAAAAAACTGGGAGTTTTGTGTTATGTGTGGGAGATCGATTAGAGGTTCACTTTTGCGAACGCAAACGCTACCCTCCTCACACATCCCAAGCCAGATGCTCCGCTGAGCGTCATGACGGATGCTTCAAATATTGCAGTAGGAGCTGTTCTTCAACAAGGGGTAGATGATTCACGGCAGCTGATCTCATTCTTCTCCAAAAAGCTCCAACCAGCCGAAACGCTCTACAGCACCTTTGGACGAGAACTCTTAGCTGTGTATCTGGACATTCGCCATTTTCGTCATCACTCGCTCAAGGGTCGAGAGTTTCACGTGCTCACTGATCACAAGCCCCTCACATATGCTCAGTCAGCATCAATGGACAGACATTCCCCACGTGAGATTCGCCATCATGATTTTGTTTCACAATTCACTTGTGACATCAGATACGTCAAAGGTGGTGACAACCCTGCCGCGGACGCTCTTTCGCGTATCGAGCTCAACTCCCTCAGCCCAGGGCAGTCCCACACACTCCTCAATTTCAACAAAAGGTGCTGACCTACAACGACAGTGTGACGAACTCCAACAACTTCGTCATTGGCCTAAACGCTATGTTACATTCGCTCGTTAATTGCCACACACTCACTGGGGGGGGGGGGGGGGGCTCCTGTAGCGTTTTCAGATGATCAATTCTTAATTATCAATTCATCTTAATTTTTAGTTAATTATCACACTTTAATTATCAATGTTCCTTTTGAACTTTTTAATGATTAATTCTCCTGAATGCATTACTCGTTTTCCTTGTATACACATATACCACACAGTGCCTATGCAATATGTAGTCACTATACTTTTATACAGAGCATTTTTCTGAGACTCAAGGAAACCACGATATGAGTAAGTTTCCCCATTCTTAAGTATTTCTTATTCCAAGACTTCCTGTTTCCACCAGTATATAAGTGCTGCTCCAGGCCACTAGCAGTTCCTCACTGTTTCATTTCTGTTACAATTCCATTTCTATCTAGTCTATTCAGTTCACCAAGTTCTCTTTGTCTCAGTTCACTGTAACCAGTTCAATCAATCAATGTGTATTAAAATATTGTTGTGGAATAAACAATCATGGTAAACACAGTCCTCAAACAAATTGTGTATCAACCTATCCATTCCCCAACAGTCCTAGACATAACTTGTCACTGAAATGTTATCTCTTTAAAATTAAATTGGACAAATTTTGGTTCTCAACTTAGCTATTCAAGAAGCTTAGGATATTGGAATCAGAGAGACATACACTGCACGAAGATATCAAAATATAGCAAGATGGTAAATATTAACAGTCTACTTGAAGACAAATGTTGACTGGAACAACTGTTGGAGATAAGGAGACAAAATTCCCAACAGGTGGGTGATGTGTTTGAAGATACTTATGTCGGGAAATGAAAATATGTGTTATTCATGTTACATGTATTTGGCTATATTTTCAGATGACCACATCGTGCACAGCACTGAAGAAAGTTGGAATACAAAATAACACTTTCTTCTTGAATCATACGTCATCCACAATCAGATGAACCTAATCAAGGAGTGTGCCTCCCGGTCGTTGGAGACAATCTTCACAAGAACAGTTTCAATCACCTAAATCTTAGGCGCCTACTATATATTGAGTATGGGAAATATATGCACTGAGCAAGAGTGTATAAGTGTTAAATTGTATAATTGTTCAAAATGTATCAAATATTGTATACATTCAAACACATGTATGTTTTACTTTATGCATGTTTTTTTTCTAGATGAGGAGCAATGGATGAAAATTGTGGTGTTTCACTGAAGTAAATTGCAGAACCTGGAGGAGGACGGCATCGCCGAGGACTATGATGAATATCTCGCTGCTGCTTTCAGCCACCTAGAAGGAAGAATAACGTTAACAAGTTGACAGAGTCAAGACCTATGATGTGTGTGTTAAATTGTAAGCGGAACAGCTGTCGGCATGGACACTAGGGAAAGTGACTGTCATATCAAACACATGCACAGCTGGCCTGAAGACATATACAGGAACGAAAGAGTTAATAATTGGTGAAGCAATCATTCTGTCTGCATAAATTGTTTTTAGAGAGAGTCAACTTTGTAACTATGATCTCATTTGTATGGTTTACTACACACATGCATTTTGCAGTTTAGAAATGTATTGAGTCAGCACTTCCATTTGTAATGTAAATATACAACAGAACAAACTGTGGCATTATTTGGTGATGCTTTTATATGATTGGATTGGATTGGATTTTTTTTGTTTTTTTGCAGCCACAACGACCATGCCGATGCACCAGCGGCGGCCAAACTGGAATGTGCAAATGCAAGAGGTTCAATATTAAATGCAGGAAATCGTGCAAATGTCAAGAAGGCGAGTGCGCCAATAGAGAGGTGAGATATAAGTAATGTGTTGTTATGAATTCATACATTATCGATAAAGGAAAAATAGTAAAAACGGCCCTCTTAAAGGGAAAATACAACATTTGCAAACATCAAAAAATTAATCTACACGCAAGTGCAAATGCACAAGTCAGTGCACCAACCAAGTAAGATGCCACTGCTAAACTCATTAAATCGTGACGTAATAAACAGGACTCGCGTATGCTACTCTGCATCGGGAGTCCTGTTTATTACATCACGATTTACTGTGTTTTGTTTGCTGCCCGCAACGACGACTTTTACACAAATTGCACGTTCGGGTCGAAACAGGCATGACAGGACTTGAAAAACAGCTCTCAAAAGTACCTTTTGTACTCATTTCATGACAGAAACAATAGTCGTTTTTATTTCATCACACCTTAGGCTACATATACCCGAAAAATGACGGAAATGTCTTCGAGCATTCCACAACCTCTTTAAGAAAGCTACCAGTTTCACACACCATTTTGGACCTCTGCGGGGAGTCATTAAAGGGAACTGCATCCTGGAATGAGCCCAATTGGGCTTCAAAAACTACAAAATATTTAAAAGTAGAAAAAAAGTCACACAACTATCATTTGAAAAAAACTGGGAGTTTTGTGTTATGTGTGGGAGATCGATTTAGAGGTTCACTTTTGCGAACGCAAACGCTACCCTCCTCACACATCCCAAGCCAGATGCTCCGCTGAGCGTCATGACGGATGCTTCAAATATTGCAGTAGGAGCTGTTCTTCAACAAGGGGTAGATGATTCACGGCAGCTGATCTCATTCTTCTCCAAAAAGCTCCAACCAGCCGAAACGCTCTACAGCACCTTTGGACGAGAACTCTTAGCTGTGTATCTGGACATTCGCCATTTTCGTCACTCGCTCAAGGGTCGAGAGTTTCACGTGCTCACTGATCACAAGCCCCTCACATATGCTCAGTCAGCATCAATGGACAGACATTCCCCACGTGAGATTCGCCATCATGATTTTGTTTCACAATTCACTTGTGACATCAGATACGTCAAAGGTGGTGACAACCCTGCCGCGGACGCTCTTTCGCGTATCGAGCTCAACTCCCTCAGCCCAGAGCAGTCCCACACACTCCTCAATTTCAACAAAATGGCTGACCTACAACGACAGTGTGACGAACTCCAACAACTTCGTCATTGGCCTAAACGCTATGTTACATTCGCTCGTTAATTGCCACACACTCACTGGGGGGGGGGGG